CCTTGTTTTTTAGCGCTCAATAAGATACGAGTTTTCAAAGGAGATGGCTGTTACTCTTACGTTGGGAAAGTTGGAGGACAACAAGATCTGTCACTGGGAAGAGGATGTGAAAGCGTAAGCACACGATTCACTCGAGTGCATTGTGTTTCAAGGGTTTTGAGTATTACAGGTAGGAACAGCAGCACACGAAATGGGTCACGCTCTAGGATTCTTCCATTCCCAGTCCAGGGTTGACCGGGACAGTGCTATTAGCATTATAGTAGCCAATATCCAGGTGAGCTTGGTTATGAGATTGATCGCTTACTGACAAAGAATTTGGTCGACTGTTTTTCTTTGTTGAGCCGATATATCCCACGAAAGGACATATTTACAATTCCGAGATCTCGATAAAAATACGCTAGGAGGGCTAAAAAGGCATTTGAAATAGTGCACATGAGCATTTACCTCACGAAGGGTTGCGGGATATATGAAAGATCCTGGGTGAAATTGCGCCTTTTTGAACAGGATCGAGCCCTACCCCGCGAGACTCTGGAGGCATTCATCATCGCCGTCGATAAAGTCTGCAATATCGCGTCGACCAGAGCTCAGGAATTTCGGTACTGCATCCACTTTTTCGTAGCTTCCCTTAAACCGTCACTAAGCGGATGGTTTGTGCCAGCGGTACAGCAATACACCAAGTAGTGTCGATGTTTATCTCGAACTTGGGTAGTAAACAATGAATATACTGTGTAGCAGTAGTAATAATGCAGAACAAGGTCAATCAAATAAAACTATGCGCAGCGCATCGTAGGCGCAATATAGAGTAGATTCAATTACGGTGGACGGCGTCTTCTTGTCCTTTTATAGGGTTCACATGATAATTAAGCTGACGATGGTAGTGTAATGCGCTCTACGATCCTGAATCAAAACATTGACCCTTCTGGCAACATCTTACAACAACATTCAAGGTTACGATATCTGTTTATGACAGTATGCGCTAGAAGTTACGAAAACATTTTCTGTCATCCTCATAAAAAAGTGGTCTTTACAGCGATAATTGTACGGTCAAACTCTGGAGGCAGGAAAGTCCTTTGCATGATCTTCGCCTACCTTGCACCCCCACTCTCTCAAAGTCGGTTCACTTTGATAGTCATGATTCTTCCCAAGTTCCGGGTGAATGTGGAGGCGAATAGCATTATATCATTGTACGGTCCGAACCCTCTTGATTGTCCTATCTGATCGGATATTGATATGTCAGTTAATCAGCTTCCTTTGAAAAGTTATTGATAACCTTACGGTGCAGAAGCCACGGTTGGAAAGAACGTAATTATGCGGTCAATATCCTAGAATTATAGCTCACTGCCTCTGACGAGTCTTTGGATCGCAGACAAATTGTACTGCCACTATCTCTAAAAACGGGCTATTCCAATAACAGTTCTCTCGGCCAAAAAGAAGTGACCATGTTTTCCTTTTAAATGGGAAAAGGTATCATTACCTGAAGGCCTGTCCTGGGATATATCCTGAGTTTATGAGCAGTGAATAAAAAGCCAACCAGTAGTTGAGACTAGCTTAGAACTTTCTAGAAGAACCGGAGGCTGCACGTTGCAGCCATGTCATTCAAAACTACTGTTACTTCAAAATAACAACCTGGGAATTACCCAATTTGACAGCTTAGATTATCGAGATTTAATAGCATTTTCAATGGCTGTTCAACAGGTTAGCGCGGGCGGTAAAATGATGACTATCCAGTGCAGTGTCAAGGGGGATGACCTCAGGGAAAGAGTCAGTTTCCGTCCCACAGGTGCCTTTAGATAGAAACTGAACAGTTACTCAACCACGGTATTTCAGCATCCAAGAGCAGAAAGGAGGCAACGATATTCCTAAATGATATTTTCTGATACCTTCGGTATTTGAATAAACTTCTTCTATATTCTTTTCATTGCAATTCGGATATTTTCACAAAGTGAAAGTGTAAATTTGGCATATTCCTGGAACCCAACCAGAAGAGCATTGCTTTATAGACCCAACTTTGTGGACCAGTTCGACAAGGAATCTGCTACTACAAACTACAATTACGGAATGCCTTATGACTATGGAAGCATCATGCAGTACGGAGCAACGAGGTGAAGCTCAATGTTTATGCATTAAAATTTCGCATTATGTGTATCGAGAGTACTTTCCGAATCACAGAGCGGCTTAACTATTCAACTGGGAATTTGTTTTGAAATTCTATGGTGCGGTAAAGAAGGAAAGACGGATTAATAGGCTACCTAGATGAAAGTCATACGTGAAAAGGACGCGTCATCTGATTTTTTGAATAGAAATCATCATGTATGTTGGTAAAGTGCAACCAGTTGGAGAGTTGTTCCATTATGGATGGAGTGAGCCCACTCACGCCGTTTTGTCTTCTGAGGGCCATCTCCTTAAAATGTAAATTCTTGTGGCCAATTCTGTATATTTTTGCCTTTTACTACATAGCACTTTACAACAAGTACATTCGTGGTTTGTACAAACACACCAGAAATAGGAAGCCTAATATCCTACGCATGAACTATTCACTTGTTTGTCTCTTTAACCTTGAGATCGAGATTATTTTCTATTTCTGGCCATTACTTCCGGGCGGGTCCTCCTGTGGTGGTCGACATGTGATTATCCCAAGGCACGGGCAAGAAACCTATGCCCGTTGAGGGCGTACATTCGAGGCTATTGACTATTGAGTGGACTACGAGTCATTGTCTTTACAGTGACGACTGCTGCCTATCGTGATGCGGATGGCGCTGAAGCCGGCGATGAACCAACTGTAATAGGCGCAACAATGAAAGACCCTATCACTGCCCTCAAACCGTTTATATACCCGTAGAGGCGCGGAGTGTGACACGAAAAACACCATAAACAAGGACTCTAGAATACTAGACTATATAATAAAACAGATCTTTCAGATCTACAAGATTCCACATAATGATAGTATTGTTTCGGATAATAAAAAAGGATCAGTTCTATGCACGAAAACTCTCAGAATTGCATACACTTGCTCATTATATGACGTTTTATTGATGAACTTGAAGAAGTTATTGAACCACTGCGTAATAAGAAATACAAGATGGAAATTATAACAGCTGATGTTAAATGCATATATGGAAATAAATTCATTTCCTATAACTATACAATAGGAGATAGTTCTAGAAGAATTGAAGAACTGGTTACTACTACTAGTGATTAATAATTGATTTTACCTGTGCTCTTGTTTTGTTAAATAATTTATAACTTCGATTCTTTGTAATTGACGCACAATATGCTCCAATGCATGTTGTTATAAGTTACACTGCGTAGCAGATATACCGCATCAGGTAATGGAAATCATCGTATACCTGAAATACTCACTTCCCTATATCTAACTCATATCTCATTATTCATATCTTGATTATTTTGCTCACATTACACCATTTCACTACTCCTGTATTTCATCAGTCCTCACTCACTAATGAGCCTCAGTGGACTGATGGAGTATAATGGTTCGCCTGAGTACTGGCGAAACGGACCATTCTTGTTCCTCTTCTTCAGCATAGTATATTTTTGTCAATTTCTTCTTTTGATTGGGCTAAGCTGATGCTCTCCATAACCCAGAGGTAACTCGGGTTTGGAGATGTATCCGTTCCGTCGTAATGGGAAGAGATGAACTTGCAGTTTAGCTAGTTTAAGTTTAGTTAGTTAGGTTAAGAGGCACTGCCTCACGTCACTGAATTTCGGGACCTGTGGTCTTTCTTGCGTCAATGACGTACTGACCTTAATTCTTATATCAGGGTATTTTCACTGCATGCAAGTCCACTTCATATTCTCAAACAGTTTATTGATAACTCACAATAAAAGGGTTAACTAGCATAAAACGCACTGTTAGTATTCCTCAACTACTCTCATTTAGTCTGTCTATCGTGGTTATTCTGCAGTTTATTTGCGTTATCGTCATCTACCAGAGATTCTCGTTTAGATCTGTTTTCTTGAAGTATGGGTTTATATTTTCATTCATTTATTCACACAATGATTATATATTTTATATTAGGTAGCTACCTTTTCAAGACTTTGCTCTCTCTCTCTTCAATATTAGCATGCTGATCGATTTGCAGATTGGCTTATTGTTGTTGTCTAATAAAGATTCCCAATTTTAACTTACCTCACCCTCGCCCGAGTCTAGTATGAGCTTAGATCTGTGATACCTCACTTACTGCTAAGTTTCTTCCGTTTCAGTCCGCGAAAAGCGGAGGGTAACCTAGTTAGAACGTCATCCTTCCTGGTGGCCATTGAAACCCCAATCTGCCTCAACTCGGGACTACTTTGCCTCGAAGGTCTTGATGAATTTTCTGCAGTGTTGTTCAAAGTCGTGATTGCTAACCGACTCCTCCCAACTCCTCTTCAGGATGATAACGAATTAATACTCTGCTTGACTACAGTCTAGTTCGCTGCGGACAGTCACTTGCCCGCTACAACAACTGGTGGAGAACGAGTTTGGCACCGCGCCAAAGGCAGCTGCACTGACACACCCAACCGTCCGCAGCGATTCCCACACTATACTGCATTCTTACACTATACTGTATTCTTGACAAGCATTTGATTGTTCTAGGTGACTTCAACATTGATGTTACTGGGAAACGAGTAGGGCCAAAAACTTCTTTTCCTTCAAGTTTCTGGAATTCTTCAGATGTTGTGGACTTGTCCAGTGCGAATACCACACCCGCACACGGAGTCTTACTTTTAGAACGTTTTTATTGTCGATATGCTCGCTATTGTCAAAAACACTTTCGAAATTACCGGCCTTTTCCAGGTTCTGACCCCCAGCTGTAAGATGAAGACTTTTCAATTATTATCCCTTATCACGCCGGTGAGAGAGGAGGTGGTGTAGTGACAAGTGGCGCGCTTACCACTCGCGCGGCGCCGGGTTCAAATCCCGGGTCGACTCCCGCCCAGGCCAACCAAGCCTTCTACCCTCCGGGGACGGTAAATTGGTACCAGATTCGTCTGGGAGGATAAAACACTGACTTGTACATCGGCTGGCCACCGCAAGTCATTGTATAGGCCACATCGCATTCAATAAGCCACTACGATTCTGAATGGAAGTAGAATGCGTGCCGCATCCCCACAAAGATTGATTACGCGCAGAGCTTTATTATCCCTTATCCATCCACGCCATATAGACCGTCAATGGCCTAACTCGCCAGGGCCGATTAGTTCTGAAATCTCGGAAGTACTTCTTCTTATAGGAATCTGTGACTAGGTTTTCCGAATTCGGGTAGCGCCTAGTGCTATTTGAGGTACTGATCGGTGCTACAAAAGATTTCCTTTGGCCCTAGTTCGTTAAGCTGTGGTGTGATCGCACGGAAAGCAGTTGGTACTGGGGAAGCTCAAAATTTTATGTGCCCTCGATTCCATGTATGTGCCGCAAACGAAATTTCCCAAACCTAAGGAATACTAGCCCAGAAAGCGCGACTTTACAATGAGACATTTGACGATCCCTTGTCATGTCTTTATTACAAAAAAGTGTGCCGCGCTTGATTACCATCTGAGGAAGTTTCTAACAAGTAAGGAAAGGCGTGTTAGCAACAGGCTTAACAGGAATACTATTTTTGCGTTGGTGAAACATAAGATTAAATCCCATTCGGGTATACCTGTGCTTCTTGATGAATACCTGTAGTTCCTGATGAAAGTGGCAATCGTTCCTTACTGATGGTCAGAAGGCTGAAGCGCTCGCACCGTCCTTTCGTCTGTCTTCTCCACTGACAGTGGAAGCAGTTCCAGTGCAGGTTCCGAAGCTCGAAAATGCTTGAATACCCTTAGTGAATGTGTAGTAACTAACGAAGTTGTATATAAAACGTTGAGATCATTCAAATGCTCTACTTCTCTTCCTTACGATGGAATTCCGCAGATTGTATACAAAAATGTGCCCTCTCTTTATGCAGCCCTATCTGTATGATACTCAACGTTCTCTTATGTTCTGTGAGGTCCCACTGAGTTGGAAAGAATCTATCGTTACTGCCATTCCCAGATTCAGAACCATAAGCTAGTTTCTTCTTTCCGCCCCATAAGTATAACTGCTCCGCCTGCTAAAGCTCTGGAAAAGATATTACGTGATAAAATTGTATCTCATTTAACGAAGCATAACCTTATTCCCACAGAGCAGCATGGCTTTGTCAGTGGTGCTTCTACAAGTACTCTTATATGGCCGAGACTGTATATTTGACTGGAATCTCGCTATTAACGAAGGAAAGGCGTGGACATAATCTATTTCGACTTGTCCAAAGCCTTTGATAAAGTGAATCATGAAAAAGCTCCTTCATAAGTTGTGGCAGTTAGGAATCGAAGGCCCATCCTTAGCTGGATCTGTTCCTATCTAAAAGATAGGCACATGTGTGTCAAAGTGGGTAATAGTTTCTCGCGAAGTATCCTTTGTTGTAGCGGAGTTCCACAAGGTGGTGTGTTGTCACCTCTACTGTTTCTGGCGTACACCTTTGACCTGCCCGCTTACCTCAATACTCACCCTACTCACACCTACTCAGAATGGTTCTCTAATTCTGCTGAGGCCCTATAAAGCACAGGTTGTCCCATATGGTTCTCAGATATTCAGCCCTTACATCAAAAAAAACTTCAGGCAAAAGTTGAAAAGGTTCAGCAAACTTTCACCAGAATTCTGATGTACCGATGTTATCCCAGCCCGACATATCCACGTGGTTTACCCAGCTATGAAGAGCGCTTACAGCTTTTCAACCCAAGTCACTACTATATAAAAGGGTGTTTAATGACATTTTGTTCTGCTTCAAGTTACTCAAAGGAGAGTTAAGATTGAAGCCTAGTAAGTACTGGGTATTTGACCCAGCGGATGCCGTTTCTCTTTGCTGTCCCTGCAATGCCCGAAATTGAGTACTAGCCATCGATCTAAGTTATTTAACTCACTATCTTTCCGTGGAGCGAGATGGCTCCAGTCACTGTCATCAGACGCCTACACAATGCGTCGAATCCAACGTGTTCAAAAAGGAATTGAAGGAAGTTGGCCCGCTTTTATAGGAATTGAGGTTTTCTAAAAGATTGAGGTGTGAAGAGTTAGCTTACGGTGTGTTTTGTTGAATTTTGGTCCGTTATTT